TCCTCCACAGAATTGCATATGTTTGCACGTGTGTCCGCCTGAATCTCATGTTCCACAGAGACAGAAGCTGCAGGAGAACATACCTGAACAATTTACTCAAGGACAAGCAGGATTTACAACACATCTGGACAACACATCATCACACGTCCTCCCCAACCTCCTCCCGCTTGTCATCTCTGACTCGAACTAGTGATGATTGAGTAGATGTTTGAGAAAAAAAGTGCCATTTCCCTTATTTTTTTATGGAGAAGAGGCAGGGTTAAAAACGAAGCATGTGGTTCAGTTTATTTGACCTTCATTTAGGCTCCCTTAGAGGTCAAAGAACTTCCTAAATTGTACAACTATAAGTGTGTGTATGTTTGTGTGAAGGCACTCTCAACGCCATGGGAAAATCTTCCTGCAAAATGATCTCCAGACTATTTTAATTAGCTTGTTTCCATTAATGTGAGCTAAAAAGGAAGCCTTTTACCATCAAAATAACCCTTTTCATTCCCTGCACATACTTGTGATTAGGTTTAAGGGATTCATAATAGTCTGCAAAATGGATTTAGACATCTGCCCGAGCACTGAAACAAACACATGAAGGATCACGTATTCATGAAGCAGCTCTTTTGTGCTTTAACACATTGGCAGCTATTGCAGAGGTTGCCTAACACGCAAAACAATGGACTCCTGGGGGAGGTTTGTCAAGGTTAATATACTTAGTTAGTCTCCTCATGTGAGAGGATTTCAATAGGGGACACACAATGGCTGCTTTTCAACCGAGGATAGAGGGAGCGGTGGTGTCGGAGGTCGAGGGGCACGAGGTCTGAATGGTGTATCGTGTGACAGCGTCTGAGCTGCTGAGCGAGCATCTACTGCCAGACAATGTCACCGACTAAACATTTGGGAGCGCTGCTGAAAGCAACGAACAGGTGGTGTTCAGAAAGAGCACCACGGGAGATGAGTTTACTCCGCACGATGATTTAGGAGAAAGTATTTGAATGGGACAGGATTTAAAGTGATTTAAATGGGTTTGCTTAAGTATGATCAAATGATTGTATAAACACACCTATTTCTGGTCATTAGAATCATCAAACAAATTAGAAGGAATTATCTAAAAGATAATAACGTAGTAAACTCACAATGGAATAACTTAGTAAATGAAATCTATGTAATTGAGAAAACAACTAGGAGAATTAGAAACCAAATTCATATCTTTGAGGAAAGGTGGGAAAAATGGGTCAAGTATAGAACAATATAATGAATATAATAATGTATACCTGAGTATTAATAATGTATCCATTCTTTTATTTGTAATATTATTCTTTTTATTATTTATTTTCGGATTTGTCGCCTGTTATGTATGTAGTACCTAGTTTATTTTGTTATGTATGCTTTGTGAATATTTTCTTAAAATGCAAATTAAATAAATAAATAATAATAATAATAATAATTGTATGAACAGAGATACTACTCAATTTACTTTAAATGTCAAGGGGAAAGATCCTACACATCTCTCACTTTTTAGAAAAACGTTAAAAGTTCCACAAATATTTTATCATTCGCAGATATACTTATGTTTTTGATACTGAGCATTTTTTACACAAAATATATTGTTTTCTTCTTTTCTAAGGTTACATTGTTCTGTTGTCTTACATAATAAACTTACTGTAAGTCACATGTGTCAAACTCAAGGCCCGGGGGCCAAATCAGGCCCTTGGTGGATTTAATTTCGGCCCGCAGGATAATTTCTAATTACTATTAGATCTGGCCCGTCGGTATATTGCACGCACACCTTCACTCAATCCTGAGGGTCTCCTCCGCTCAGAGCCTGACCCCAAACATTGATGACCTTGCACCCAAGATGAGATGCCAAGTATCTGGCTTGAACTAGCATCACAGAGCAGCACACTGAGGCCCCGGCTCCACGAGGACAAATACGGCAAAACGCATCGGAGTAACGCAAATGCAACCGCAAAAAACCTTCCGTCCCCACGCAATATACACCGGATTGTGTCAAGCTCCACGAGACGGCTCCGTTTACATCCAAACGCTGGAAAAGCTGCAGTACATATGCCGAACCTGTACGTGGCGCTGTAACTTCCTCCACAAAAGCAGCAACTTCCTCCACAAAAGCAGCGAAGAAGAATGGTTGTCATGGCTGCACTTCTGTGTATTCTCCGCGGTGAGGGCCGACAGAACCGGGCAGAGTTTTTCGCCGGTCAGCGTGTGTTAAAGTTTAAATCTTCCGGACAAAATTATAAAAGTGCCGGTCAAAGGTCTTCATTGTTATTTATTGAGCTTTAAAACAAATGAATAACGACGATATAATGATATATAATCATCAAATACATCTCTTTTTCCTCTCTTCTGACAGCGTCAGTGTCTGTCTCATGCAGCAGCTGATCCTGTAATGAGTGACCCGACAGTAAAAATGAACATATGTATAACTAGTTTAGGTAGTTTGAGAGGTAATTAAAATAGCTAAGGGTGATGATCTGACTTGAAGTGTGTGTTTTGCTCCCGCTGCATCACAGCGGCAGGAGCTGCGTGTCTCCGTCCTGTCAGATTAGACTTCACTCGCGTTTATGTCCATATCGAGATAAAGATAAATAATCTGAATTCAAGGAGGAGCTCCTGTAGATGTTGCACAAAGAACTGTAGCATGGTCAGTAGCGACTGGAGCACGATAGCAACCCCACGGGGGAGAGGCGGGGCTATGAAAACGAATGACCGTATAGGCGACTCCACGGCCCCGTTGGACCCCCCAGATCGCTCAGTTCCCAGATCTATCCACCTTTGGACCCGTTGTCGTTTGCGGGGTCTGTTTCTACGTTTCCCTTACGGCGTCGTCGAGCTTAGAGGGCTATACGCATGAGAAATATGCGGATTCAACCCGTTTCCGTCCTCGTGGAGCCGGGGCCTGAGTTTCAATGGATGTTTCCTTCTGCACTTTGTTTCTTGAGACAACAGGGCGTGTTTGGTTTTTTCTTTGAGGGGAATTGTTTTTTTGAAGCTGTTGTTGGCCTGTGGGAAAATGTAATCATAAGAAATGACTCTGCAGATAGAGCCATAAGAAATGAATGCAACTGATTATTTAATGTTTAATGTTGTTTTTATAGGCAATAATTTAAGCTTTGTTAGTTCCAGGTTTAATATGTGCAATAAGTTAATTTCAATAAGTTTTGCAATGAACATTGAACCCAATATTTTGGCCCACTGTGTATTTGAGTTTGACACCCCTGCTGTAAGTGCTGTTATTTATTTTCTACTGTGTATATTTGCATTGCAGGTAATCCAAAAAGTAATCAGGTTACATTACTTTTACATTTTGATAAGTTACTATTAATTGTAATGGAATACATTTTTACAGGAACCCTCCAAACCCTGCATATGTAGGATTTTATAATACGTTAAAGTCCCACATTTAAATGAATGATTCTGCAGAAAGGTCAGGTCATATCATTTGAATTCTCTAGCCTAAGTTGCCTAAGCCCGACTTAACCGTCTAGACTTCAGGTTGTAAAGCGCTGAACCCATGAGCGTTACTTTGTTAGAAAAAGTGGTGGGGACAATTTCTCCAGATTTAACAACAGCGTAGCAGAAGACAAAATATGTCCCTCCCCTGGGGGGTGAACCTCGAGCAGCTGCATGATAAACCAATGCATAGACCTCTGGACCACCAGTGTGTTTTTAAAACCATGAACGCCCAAATATAGGTCTTGCTGTGATGTGATTTGGAGTGAATTTGTACCTTTATGCACACAACGAGAGAACATGACATAAGTATAAAATAAATAAATTCATAAATATGAAATAAATACAGGAATAAAAAAATACAAGAATAAATAATAGTTGAAATGTGATATTCAAAGTTTACTGACATGACCAAATTGCCCATCTTGACACTAAACCAGTGTTCTTCTTTATCACATTTCTTTGTGCACGCTATTTTCAGAACATGTATAAGTTATACTTTTAAAAAGTGGTTCGGACATAATTTCAAAAAGAGTCCCCAGCGCAAATGATGCCAAGGTCTGAACCCACACACACAGCAAAGCTTTCTAGTAAGCTTCTTTTCTCAGTTTGGACGTCTCATTTGTCTGAAATATGCTGAGTTGGTGTTGGGCACTGAAGCCCATTTGTTCTTTAGAGCAAGTGCCCCTGACCTTTAACCTTTAGGACAGGATGTTGACACTCCGTAATGATTTAAAGTCTGAGAGCTGACCAGGGGAGAAGACAAACGGAAGTAACATCAGCAGCTGTCAGATTCTTCTTTTACTGGCTTTCGTGTGATTTATGTGTGTGGTCGTATTTATTGGGGAAAGAGAGCCAGTTTAAGGGGAAATACACCTGTTGTTATAACCCTTTAAATAGTACATGAAACTATTTGGGAAAATTCATGAATTGCTATTTTTGTATGTATCCCTACTAAAATGATAAATAAAGTTATTGTTTTTGGTCAAAATGTGACCTTTTTTCCCCACTTACCCACTCACATTTGATATATTATTGAACCCATGTTACATTTAAGTTTCACCCCTTTTACACCTGTATCAGATCCATGTTACGCCCATATTAAACCCATGTTCCATCAAAATTACACCCATATTCCACCCATATTGCACTGTTATAACACCCATTTTACACCACTCATAGTACATCCATATTACACCTATATCACACCCTGATTCAAATGTATCACACCCCGTATTTTACCCATATCTGGATGAAACAGAGATTTTAATAATCTTCATAAAAGGTTTTGATTTGTATAAATGTTTAAAATCACGTCCCATCACCTCTTGACTCTTTAATTGTTCACATGAATCAAATCCAATATGTTTCTACATTCACTTCACTGAGCTCAGATTAGCAACCTTCCTATAACAGTCTGTCTGTGTTTGTAGACATCCTCTACATCCAGGTTCAAAGTTCAAGGCTTTTATTGGTCATACGTGCATAGCTACAGTGTAGTTATGACGATGAAAATCTTAGGTCACAGATGTGCATCTTACCGTGACACGCTCTGCCGTCCGGCCCCAGTCGGCTGCCTTCAGGACACTTGCAGTAGAAGCTGCCGATGGTGTTGCAGCAGAATCCCTCACAGCCGCCTTCATCCCGCTCACATTCATTAACATCTGAAAGATTAAAATTGCAGATTTATTATTTAACAAAACAGAAAGACTTCCTGTCCCTTTTCAGCTAACCTGAGAGAAACAGCAGCTGTATCTTCCTACATGCTCAGCGACTTCATTCATAAAACTGAGATTGAGGATTCTCTTTCAACTCTGCAGACTCTTCTTCCTTAAAACTTCATCATATCAGCTCCAAAAGGCCTCTTAACCTCACTCATGGATTTCCCATTTCCCATTTTCTCCCATGTTCCCTGAGCGTAAAACTTTTTCCAGGTTTGTTCATTGTTCACACTTTTTCAACTGCTGCTATTATCACAGTATATGTTTCCACGAGGCAGCAAAATGGCTAATCCCTTTTGCAGATGATACAGTGTTGGATGTTTGATTAAGCAAAAAAAGCAGATGGTGACAGAGACATGCATTGGACTTCCCTGGACCCCCCCCCCCCCCCCCTGTCAAAGAAGAACCAAGGTAACAGAGTGGAAAGGGAATCTGTTATAATTCTTAGTAGCTTAGCAATTTGTAATAGTTTGTTTATCTTTGAATAACAGGACATGTCAGAAGCTTGGAGAGACATTTAGGAGGCAGCTGGAAGAAGAGAGCAACATGCGGTACAGTAACAAGACATATCAAGGTCTGCCTTTATATTAATGACAACAGATTGTTACTCTGTTAAAGGGGCCCTATTTCAGGTTCATATTAGTATTGTGTTCCTCTACTGCACATGTGTCAAACTCAAGGCCCGGGGGCCAAATCAGGCCCTTGGTGGATTTAATTTCGGCCCGCAGGATAATTTTTAATTACTATTATATCTGGCCAGCCAAAAGAGCGCTAGCCAATAGAAGTGCGAGCGTAGTGATGTCATTATGTTACAGAAGTAAACAAAGGAGGCTTGAGAGAAACTCCCTCTGGAGGGAACACAGGGATTTTAGTCTTTGCAGAACATTTACATGCACAAAAACCTACAGAATAACACACTACAGGAAAGGGAAAACTGCAAAAGGCGTAATAGGGCCTCTTTAAATTCCCCCACCAATGTCTTTTCTTTCATAAACAAGGAAGTGTGTGTGGTTCTTACTAAGCTTTTAATTACGTTTTTCATATTTGTTTAGACTTCACGTGAAGCAGTATTTATTTCCCATTGTCTCAATCCCCTGGGCAAGAATGAAGGTTAATCTAAAGCACATACAGTTTAATGGACTGCTAACAAGTTAAAGCCAACAAACTAGATGCGCTCCGAAGTGCCTCTGGTTAAACACCTGAAAACAATTCATGTGTTAAGTCTCCTCAGAGGAGAATAGCCAGTATTCTCATTTTGGTCCAATCAGGGGATGTCAGATTAGTCTACACTGTATTTTATCTGCAGGAAGACACCTCGGGAGAATGGATATCTTAGCCAGTATTACAAACAGACATGGGTATGATAAGCAGACCCTATTGCTCACACAAAATGCATCCGCCTCCATGTGGAAACTTGTACGAAAACACAGACGTCCCATAGGGCAAAATAGTCTCCAGCTGACCATGTGAGAAACATTATCGATTCTCTATTCCCATCGTTTCATTTCACGAGATGCAAAGCACAGAAGTTTGGACGAGTGGTGCTGTTTTATGAAAAGCACATGTTTTTTCAATAAATCTCCCCTGTGGAGAAGATGAGATATGAACACATATCTTACAAAAGGGGAAACGAACCACCTGAGATTGAAATAAAAAAAGCTCACAGAACAAATGTTTCTCTTTTATGGTTGTTATTAAAGTTTATTAGTCGTTTGTTTCCGGATCTACCGTCCATATCGAACAAAGTCTACAGCAGGTTATGCAGCAGCAATGTTAGTGAGAAGGACAGCAGAGAAGCACCATTAATACTGCAACAATGGTGGCTGTAGTTTAAAGGTCCCATGACATGGCCATTTCCACTGATCATAATTCCATTGTTGAGTTCTACTAGAATAGATTTATATTGTGCAATTTTCCAAACTCACATTGGTTTCTCATCCAGCATCTCATGTGTATTCACTCTGTCCTAAACGGCTTGTTGGAGCTCCTGCCCCCCCCCTCCCCTGTGAGCCCACTGTGCTCTGATTGGTCAGCTCGCCCATTGGTCTGTTCTGATGAGTCCACCACCGTTACAGCAGTGATTATGTGTTACAATGGCGTTTGTTAGCAACCAGAAAATGACACCAGTAATGACAAACAGATGTGAATGCTGCATGGGGTCTGGGTGCCGTGTTGGCGGGACATTGCGAGGAGCGGACAGTGTGAGCTGGGTTCATTTCCTGCTTGCTGCGCGGGATCTGCGAGACAGCGAGACAGCGCGAATGGACGCGGGAAGCACCCCCAAACGTGGCGCACCTACAGTGTAAGCGCGCTGAGAGAGTGTGTGTGTGTCAGGAACTCCATGGATTGGTTCATTTGGGTATAGTCACGTCACTATACCCAGGAGGAAAAAAATGGAAAAAGAGAAATCTCCAACGAGGCGTTCTGGGGCAGCATAGACAGGTATTTTCTGTGTTAGAGTTTTACTCCCTACAGGGTGTACTTTGAGGGTTTGTGACTCTGCAAACCTACATAACACACAAGGGGACGGGTAATAACCGGAAAAGCATGACATGGGACCTTTAATATTAAAATAGAATATTTGGTAAAAGCGTTCTGAAAATAATCTGTAGATTCCTGCAGGACCTCAGAAACTAAGGATGGGTCGCCATTTGTGTTTAACCGGCCACACCCACACTTGGTTTCTAAGGGCAGGCAGATTTATCTGGCTCATCTGTGGAGGCACACTTTGTTTCGGGAATTAAGATCATATATTTGCCCGATTATTTTACATTTAGGTTCAGCTTTCCTTGTAACAAACTAGTTTCTCAACCTAATTTGTTATATTTAAAAGTATTCAATAGGATTTACATGCAAAAACACTTTTTAATACACGTTTTTTTACTTAGCAATGGATAATAAAATAACAGGATGATAATTCACTGCTTAATCTCCCTGCCAGTGCCTTGGTCTTTACTCACACAGTAGTCCATCGTTCAGCATGTTTTCGATCGCTCGCTGTGCGTCTAAGTAAACTTCTGTCTAACCCTTAAAGATGTGCACACACACACACACACACACACACACACACACACACACACACACACACACACACACACACACACACACACACACACACACACACACACACACACACACACACACACACACACACACACAGTTGCACACAGAGAAACACCCCCTTCCTTTACTCTTAGGGATGTGACATGGCTCCTTAACCTGAGGACTCTCCCCCTCACACACCCCCACTTTGATCCCACAGCTCCTGAGAGCCTTAATGAGCTCTGCATATCAGCTCAGGGTCATTTACCATCATCATCATCATCATCATCACAGATTCATTCAGGCCCTGTCAGAGCATTGAGGGAGTTTATAGGTTTATAGGTAACATTACAAAGGCAGAAAGTCACATGCATCTCAAAGGGCAGGGATGGGAGGGTAACTTTAAAATGTATACTGTTACAATTACTAGTTACCTGTAAAAAAATATAATCAGTAACCTAATCTAAGTATCAATATATACAAAGAAATAATCCTGATCCTTTTTTTTACCCTTTGATTACCTCAAGATCAAATGCAATGCAAATGAATACAAGTGAATAATGAATGTTTTTTACGTAAGTGTATTAGACAACAGAACAATGTGACCTTAGAAAAGAATAAAAGAAGATATTAGGCACTTTCACACCGGAGTACTTTTCCCGTTTAGTTCCGATAGTTCCTGGGATTTTGCGTTCACACCAAAAAGAGAACTTAGTTCATGAGAACTTTTACCCCCATTTCAGTCCCTGCTAGAGAGCAGGTACTTTCCTGGGGAGAAAAAAGTTCCAATTTCTGATTGGCTGGGCGAATTGCAAACCACGCCCCGTAAAACTCGGAAACGTTTTTTGAAGCCGCCATTGTATTTGCTGGCATTAGCATTATTAGCATTAGCATTAGCCCTGCGCACCAACGGAGAGAGACTAACTTATGGCAACACAAAAAAAAAACATTGGAGCGGTGGAGTGATGAGGAGTTGTCGGCGTTCTGGCGATTTACTCGGAAGGCTTCAGTAGAAGCTGCTGGGAGTGCCAGCAGCTTCTACTGAAGCCAGTCCCCAACTCCGGGGACGTCCCGCCGGGGACTTCGGGTGGCAGTATACGCCGTGAAGTGGTTTGCGGCCTGCCAGTAAACCCAAAGCAGAAGAAGAAGAAGTGACGTCAGCGGCTTCATTTGCGTAATCTTCCCTCAGGGAACTTATTCCGCTGTGAACGCAATCGGCTCTTAGTTCCATGGGGTACTAAGTGCTGGGAACTAAGTGCTGGGAACTAAGTACGGCAAAGTACTTGGTGTGAAAGCGGCTTAGGATCAACAATGTGTTCTATAACATTTGAACTAAGTATGAGCTACTAACCAAAGTTGCAAAAAGTAGAGTACGATCCTTGCCTACAAAATGTAGTGGAGTAAAGTGTAAAATAGCATGAAAACACTTGAGTAAATCTTCCTAATATAATCCACCACTGGTAGCCTACAATGTGGTGACCAAACTGCACTGCAATCATTTTGTCAGTTTCCTCAATAAAACCCTTGCTTTAAATGTAGCCTCAAAGAAATCTTGTTAGCCAAACCTCAAATAAAAACAGTTTCCTCGTATCGATTTCCAAATGTTGCTATTTTTGACTTTGTGGCTTGGCTTGTCACTAAAGTCATCAGTCAAACTCTGGCCAAAAGTGACGGTCATCAAGTGAGGAAGAATGTATAAAAGTGCTTTAACATGTTAATGAGAGCAGCAGTATAGTGCAAAGACTCTTGGACCAAACCTTTAGGAAAATAGTTATCGTTTCAGAGACTCAGGGAATTGAGATGAAGAGGGATTTAAATATAACTAGATTTACCGAACATATAGTCAAAAGAGTAAGATGAAGACAAAAAACGTATTAATATCATAAAATAGAGTTAAAACC